AACCTGCAGAGAGTCAAGCAGAAGCTGGAGAAGGAGAAGAGCGAGATGAAGATGGAGATCGATGACATGGCCAGCAACATTGAGACCATCTCCAAATCGAAGGTACCTGACTCTCTGCACTTGGCAAATGTGAGGCCGCCATATCCACCTGCCCAGTGGGCACATGTCATTCAATGCCCCACACTCACTGCATATTCCAACCTGAAACTTGCCCCATTTATGCCCACTCCCAATTCCCCATGCAAGTCATTCAAGCTTAATGCAATGATCTGCTATGATTCAAGGTCTCATCATCCTTCCAGAGGCTTTCAGAAAGCTTCTAATCCATCTGGCACTTTCTATTTAGAACTAAACCTGTGGATGGATTGCACGCACAGGCCTTGCTGGGTATGGTTATCTGCACACCACCTTCTTAGCTCACAATATTTGTCCCTGCGAGGCATAGCCAATGTGAGGTTATACCCGACAGGAGGGATGGACCCAGGTTTTGTGGCACTTGAAGCATATAAAACTTGGGAGGGGACAGACTCTTTAAGAAAATATGAATACAAAGTTAAGCATGTAAGTAAATATTTATTTAGAATGAGAAAAATAAGTCACAAATTACTGGTACCTCGGAGACTGGGTCCCTGTCTCCTGAGACCTCTTTAGACCATTTATCAGAAATGCCTACCTAGACATAAATTCTTTCTTGTGGCTGGCTTCCCCTCCCCGCCCAGAACCTACAGCTCCCTCGGGGCCCATGCAAATGAGGGCACAGAAACTTCAACTTCACCAGCTTCATGGTAAACTGGCCTCTGTGTGTGACTTCCAAGCAAAGATTGTGTGTGTGCTCCTAGATTCAAGCATTGCCTTTGCTCTGGGAAGCTCAGAGCTATACTTTGGGCTGCTCGGCTGGGCTGCAAGAAGTGGAGACCCCAGGTTGGAGCAGTGGACCTCCTACAGAGGTTTGCCCAGAAGGTCAGGTTATCCATGGAGAAAAGGAATGGGAGATATGGATCAGAGAATTAAGGTGGTCTCCATGGAGTCTCTTTCTGTCTTTATTTAGCATCTCAGTTCACACTGCTCGTTCATTCTTTTGATTTCTTCCTCACTCCCTGACTGCAACTCCTTTCTTTCTCGTTCTAGTTTTCTGTCTGTCTCATTATTTTTCCTCCCCCTAAGAGGTGTGTCTGTATGTATTCTTCCTCTCCCTCTCTCTCTCCCTCCTCCCTTTCCCCCACCTCTCTCTCCCCTGTAGCAAGCCAAGCCAAACCAGATTGTAGGGCTGGCTGGGTTACAAGACACTCCAGCATCACCCACGTGCTGCACCTGTAGCCAGAGCCTCCCTACAACCTCCCCATCTGCACCATTGGTTCATCCTCTCAGGTCTCACTTTTAAAATCCCACAGAAAAAGCACTTTATATTGCTTTATATTTTTTTAAAGTTGTGTTATCCTTAGATTTTTCTCTTTTTCGAGTCCCCCATCCCTTTTGCAACTCCTCTTGATTTAATTATTTCATGTCCATAGATCATATTCTCAAAGATACCCTAAGCTCCTTGAGGACTCCTTTCAATCCAGTAGCCCTGCCTCTTTTGCTGCCATCTCACTTTGCAGCCTAAGGACAGATAAGCTAATATATTTACTTTATGTGATGTGAGGTAGGCGGGGGAGGAAGAGGTCTACAACACATACAAGATTTTTCAGGAAAGCGCAGGCCAGCTAGAGGTTGTGACGGTTGACTCTCTACATGCCACCTTCACCATAGGGAACGTTACGTGTAACTAAATGAAATGCTCAACACTGTCACCTGACTATATTGCTTGCAAACGGACACATCAGGAGGTAATATTATTCACATGGCAGTAGAATTACTTATATTACAAGAAGATCCCAGGGTTCCTTTGAGTGGCATCTTCTCAAAGGTTTGTTTACAAGTCATTAAATACTCATCTACCAAAAGCTGATGGTCCGAGCTATGGGTGATTAAGCAGCAGCCACAAATAAAAATAAAGCAAACCTGAAATGACCCTTTTTTTAAACTGACATTCATGTGTTTTGTATTTTTGTTTGTATTTTATCTGACGAGAAGCTAACCTATTAAACTGTCCAGTTTAACACTGGACACTAGGAACCTATTTTTCCCATTCATGTTGACTTTTCTTTTGAAAGAGTAACTTGGAAAGAATGTGCCGGACTGTGGAAGACCAATTTAATGAAATCAAAACCAAGGAAGACCAACAGACACAGTTAATCCATGATCTGAACATGCAGAAGGCAAGACTGCAGACCCAAAATGGTGAGGATGGGTGGGGCGCTGTGGTCAGCAGGGAGGGCCCTGGAAAAGGCCAAGCTGCAGCCTGACATGGGGGCCACACCTGTTTGGTAGGGGAGCTGAGCCACCAAGTGGAAGAGAAGGAGGCCCTGGTTTCACAGCTAACCAAAGGCAAGCAGGCCCTCACCCAGCAGCTGGAGGAGCTTAAGAGGCAACTGGAAGAAGAAGCCAAGGTAAGGACACTTCTTCTTGGTATGGCAAAGCCGGATATTACCCGAGAAGCCATGAAGCTGCCCGGAGGCAGTGCTACATCCCAAAGGCTGATGCTTCTCATCTCGGCCTTGGAGTGTGGTGGGAACCTAGTCTTTGAGGTTAGAGGACCTTGGCATTGGACGTCCTTCCTCAGAGATGGAAAACTCTTTCAGGGTGTTCCACTTTCTGGGCTCCTCTGTCCCCCACAGGGTGGTCTGATAAACTCCCCTCTCCAGCCATGGGCATCCCCACCCCCATCGCGGCACCAGCTTGCCCATCTCTGGCCCTGTATTTTCTTTCACTCTGCCCAGCAATTCATCCCAGCCCCATGAAAAGTCCCCCTCTTTCTTCTTCATCACACTTTGTGTAGCACCTTCTATAGCACCCAATTTTAGGCTCTCTCCCTCTAAAAACACCACATGATTTTAGAGACACCCTTGGGGCACCTGCATAAACATGAACTTTGGGAATATCTAGATATTTACGTCTATAGTTCATATCTCCACACTGATCTGTAAACTCCTAGAGGGCAAGAATAATTTTCCCCCACTGTAGTAGTAAACAGGTAGAACAGTGCACACAGTAGGTACTTAGTAAATGCTGCTGGTGTGTGTTCAAGCATGAGAATGAGAATCCACAAAAGGAGTCCACGAAAGTGTATCATCGTAATTCTGAGGTTGCCGTGCACCAGCTAAGACTTACAGGGCAATCTTTTGGACTTCTCCCAAGTCCATGTAAACAAGAGCAAGTGCTATGTTTTGCTCCCATCTTTCTATTACATGGTAAGGGTCTTTGGTAGACGTGGGGCGCAGGGGAGGCTAGGAGGGTGGTGAGATCCGGAGCCTTATTGAGTGATGAGAAGGTCCATTATAGGAGCGGGGCTGTCCTTGGCCAGGATACAGTAGTGACTGAGTTTTCCTTCTTGGGCAAAGTTTTGTTGTTTATTTGTATCTTTAAAAAGGATGAAATGTAGGAATTACTGCATTTGACTGACAAAACTCTTCTTTTGATGGTGGCACCAGAAAGTGTTTATTGACCATTATGATGAGAGCTGAACTGTCTGTCCTGAACACATAGGAGTGAGTGATGGAGGCCTCTGGGCATGTCCTGCCCTGCTCAGGAAGAGGAGGCAGAGTCATGGAAATAGCACAGCTCATGTAGAGTTCACTGGTATGGGGACACAGCCCACTGCTGACATGAAAAGATGCTTCTGGGTTTTTCATAATCATAGCATTCCTTAACATTATGTCAAGTAGTGAGAGAATTATTCCCTTTCTAATTTTGTTTCAATTCTTTTGATTACATAAGGAAACAGTCTCAATTTGGATACCGTCTCTCTAGTGCTTTCTTATTTTCCTTGTTAAGACATAGAAAGCAGGTCTCAGGCACAGAGCCACAGCAGCAAAGCACCTAGTTAGAAAGGTGATAACGTTGCTTTATTCCCATTGCATTTATTCTTATGCTTACCTGTGTTTGTGGCAAATGTTAATGGCTTCCCATCTACTATAGTGTAATCGTTTACTTTTTAAATAAATATATTTAAATATGATAAAGGAGTCAACTTTTTAAAAATCAAGTACATAAAACAGGGGATATGCTGTGTAGCAATAGCAAAGTTTGTGAAGACAGCATGGGAATGATTCAACTTGGGAAATGCTGGTTTAAGTGAAAATACCTTCACTTGGAAAATGGCCAAACATTTTTGCAATTTGTCACCATTGTAATTCCGCAGGCCAAGAACGCCCTGGCCCACGCCCTGCAGTCCTCCCGCCATGACTGTGACCTGCTGCGGGAACAGTACGAGGAGGAGCAGGAAGCCAAGGCCGAGCTGCAGAGGGCAATGTCCAAGGCCAACAGCGAGGTTGCCCAGTGGAGGACCAAATACGAGACAGACGCCATCCAGCGCACAGAGGAGCTGGAGGAGGCCAAGTACGGGCTCCTAGGTTATGGTTGGAGAGGTGACTCTGAGACACAAGTGAAGGAACAGAGAATTCTTCCCAGAGCATCTCTCTTCCCAGGTCTTGGGGGTTTCTTAAGCATTCAGATAGGGTATCCCTGCCCTTCCTGTGTGGTACTGCCCATTCACCTGGCTCCTTTGGTGCCTCCTTGGTGCCTGCTTTGCCACCAAACACTTTGGGATTCTTCAGATGCTACTTAAATCTTCTCCATTAATCAAACTCTAGGTCTTGGTCTTATCAAGTTCCAATCCCTTATGGACTGTTTCTCTTCTCATCTGACACTTCTGAAATAGTCCACCTTTGCCAAGAAAAAAAAAATCTGGTTCTCTTAGGAAAAAACTGGCCCAGAGGCTCCAGGAAGCAGAGGAAACCACAGAGGCGGTGACCTCCAAGTGTGCTTCCTTGGAGAAAACCAAGCAGAGGCTTCAAGGAGAAGTGGATGACCTGATGCTGGATTTGGAGCGGGCCCACACAGCCTGTGCCACCCTGGACAAGAAGCAGAGGAACTTTGACAAGGTCCTTCCCTACCAACTGATCATAGTAGAGATGAAAGTGACAGTCTTTTGCGCCCACATACATGTGTGAGATGCTCGCACATTCTGGGAGGTCCTCAGTCAAAACATCAAGCCCCAGGTTGGGGAGGTTTGGGGATTTGCAATGTCTCTTTCCTTTTGTGACGGTCTCTACAAAGGGAATTTTTAGTTAAAGCTAGTGCAGCTTACTTTGAGGTTAAAGCATCTTTAATAATTCAGCAGATCACTATAGGGATATCAGAGTTTGGAGCCCCTGGTCTAAAATGAGGCTTCTTCTTGTCCCCAAGGATGGAAGGGTCAAACCTTGGCATTGCTGATAGTCCCCTGACCCTTTCTGCTTCTCACACATCCGTTTGTCATCTAGGTCCTTGCAGAGTGGAAGCAAAAGCTGGATGAGAGTCAAGCTGAATTGGAAGCAGCTCAGAAAGAGTCCAGGTCACTCAGTACTGAAATCTTCAAGATGCGGAATGCCTATGAGGAGGTGGTGGATCAGTTAGAGACGCTGAAGCGGGAGAATAAAAATCTGCAAGGTGAGCTCCCTCCCCACTAAGGTGTGTCATAGTCCCCTTCTCTTCCAGCCGCCCTTCCCCCATGTGGCCACGGCCACCCCCAGACACCTCCTCCTTCCCACTGTCCCACAAAATCCTCACATCTACTCAGTTTACCCCAAGGCCTGAGCCCTCCTGCTATAAGTAAGGCATATAGCAGCAAGATCCCGTTCTAGAGAACAAAGGACACAGTGGGTTGCTATGTTCACTATTAGAGAAAAAGATGTCCACGGATTGACTCTATGTGACTTTGTGTCTTTGGGCATGTCACCAAATCCCTTAGGACCGCAGACTCCTGACCTTTGAAACAAAACCAGACCTGATGCCCCATAAAGCCCCTTCTAGTTCTGAAAGACTATGATCGTATGCATTTCTTCCACAGTTCTTTTCTCTGGTCCTCTCTGGACCGTTTTGTATATTTCCTGAAGTCTTAGGGCTATACAGTGCTCTTGTCACTCCTCTCTCTGCATAGTTCAGGTGAAGCAACCCACCTGTGTCTCGCCGACACCTCACCCAAAGGACTTTACTGTATTGTCTTCTATATAAATGTCTTGAATGAGTCACCAGTCCCTAAACTGACTGGCAAATGCCTGTGCTGTCAAACGAAGCTCGTGGCAACAGCCTAATCCAAGCCTATCCTTTGCAGAAGAGATTTCTGACCTAACTGAACAGATTGCAGAAACTGGCAAGAATCATCAGGAATTGGAAAAAACCAAGAAGCAAGTGGAGCAAGAAAAGTCAGATCTCCAGGCTGCCCTAGAAGAGGTGGAGGCAAGTGTCTTGGAGGTGACACACAGGCGCTCAGGAGGGCAGGGCACTGGAGGAAGGGGGACAAGAACACTCCTTTGGGGCCCTTCCTGCCAGGAGGCACTGACGCTCCACTGGGAAGAACATCCAGCTGCCCTGGGGGAAACAGCTGTGTTTTGCTGCTGCATTTCCTGGTGTCCTCTAGTCAACCATATTTCCCCTTTTGAAAATAAACAAATGTGTTCATTATGTCCTCAGGGTCTTCCTCTCAGAAAGCAAGAAATCACTCACCAAACATCCCGAGAGCTGGCTCCAAATCCCTCAGTTGCACACAATCATCTTTGGCTACTGGGAATTCTGTGCAGTCAAAGTAGTGCAGGGTCCTGATGTCATAATCTGCTGTGGCCAGTGCAGGGTGGGTGACTGAGATGGTTCTAGGGAAATTTGCATAACTCAGGATAACGGAAGAGCAATTGCCCTGTCATTTTAGAGAAGAGATTGGCTCCTGACTTATGGCTCCATATAAATAGACACACTCAATAAAATTTTCATTAATTCTCATAGATGTCCTGTCCCCCTCAAGACATTGTTGTTAATAATAAAGTTTTAGTTTCACTTTCATTACTTGTAGGGACATTTGGGAGCAAATGGTTTGAACTCAGTATTGTTCTACTCACCTGTTAAATGGGTATTATTATCATACCCCTTTTATCATAATGGGGATGAAAATACCCACTCAAGAAGATGGCTGTCCACGGCACTTCCAGTCACTCCTTTGCTTTTATTAGGGTTCCCTGGAACATGAAGAAAGCAAGATTTTGCGTGTGCAACTAGAGCTGAGCCAGGCAAAATCCGAGCTTGACCGGAAGGTCGCTGAGAAGGATGAAGAAATCGAGCAGCTGAAAAGAAACAGTCAGCGGGCAGCAGAGGCCATGCAGAGCATGCTAGATGCTGAGATCCGGAGCCGGAATGATGCGCTGAGGCTGAAGAAGAAGATGGAGGGAGATCTCAACGAGATGGAGATTCAGCTGAGCCACTCCAGCCGCCAGTTGGCAGAGACCCAGAAACACCTGCGCGCAGTCCAGGGCCAATTCAAGGTGAGGTGTGGCCTCTGGCGGGTCTGGATGGGCCCTCCGCCTGCCCTGGGCTTGGGCCTCACTCCTGATTTCCCCTGAAGGACTCCCAGCTGCACCTGGACGATGCCCTGAGGAACAATGACGACCTCAAGGAGCAGCTGGCCATCACGGAGCGCAGGAATGGGCTCCTGTCGGAGGAGCTGGAGGAAATGAAGGGGGCCCTGGAGCAGACAGAGCGGACCCGCCGGCTGTCAGAGCAGGAGCTGCTGGACGCCAGCGACCGCGTGCAGCTCCTGCACTCCCAGGTGGGCCCGCCCTTCCTCCACCTGAGGTCCACCGGGGGGCAGGCAGGACAGCCGCACAATGGAAAGGAGAACCCACTGTTCCTCCCAGACTCACGGTCAGGACAGTTTCGTTTAGTTTAGTTCTTGAAATAGCGTTGACTCTAGTCGCACAGGTCTCTGAGCTTTCTTTTATCCGAAGATAAAAGATCATGTATGTTGTGGGGAAGTCAGAGCAAGGAAGGATGGGTTATTGCATATAGGGGCTGGAGAAGGCTTCGTGGAGGAAGTAACATTTAAGCCACAATCTTAGAAAGTTAGGATTGTCTTTCCAAAGAATTATTTAACAAAAGGTTTTTAAAAATTCCTTGTTATAAAAAAATGGGGAATACAAGCAAAGAAATAGAAGGCAACCCTATTGTTAACATTTTGAGATCTTATTCTAAGCCCTTGTCAATGTACATGAATATTATACTTTTTGTAAAAAATGGGATCAATGTTTTGCAATTTATTTTCATTTAACAATGTGTCATGAACATGTTTCTACATCTTTAATTTTCTATGACTATTTTTAATGGCAGAAAAGTAGTCTGCTATAGTTGTGTATTATGGCATTTTTATTTAATCAATTCTCTGTGGCTGGATATTTTACATTGTTTCCCCCCAAAATTTTTACTGTTAACTGATTACTATGATGAACTTCTTGATAACTAAGTTTTCACATATATCCATTATTATTTTCCTAATATTCCTACAAGTGAATAAATTCCTAGAAGTAAAACTTCATGGTCAAAACAATGAAGACATTTGTAATATATTGTAAACTGATCTTTAATTAGGTTGTCCTAATATTTAATCCCATTGGGAAAGTATATGAGAGCTCTTTCCTATAAATTCTCAAAGACCCGAGCTATTATTTTTTTAAATCTTCACCAATTTTATTGTTGAAACTACATCTTCTTAAAAAATTTTATTTGATTACTAATGAGGCAGAACGTTTCATCATATTTTGTTTGCCGCTTGTATTTCTTTCTTTTTTTTTTTTTAAAGATTTTTTTTTATTTTTTTTTATTGGGGAATTGGGGGGATGGGAACAGTGCTGGGGAATTGGGGAAAGGGGAACAGACAAGTTGCTGTCGTTTTTTTTGTTCTTCAATCTAGTTGTGGAGGATGTTGCTTCACTGGCCCAAGTTGGCACCATCACTGCGCTCTTCTCTGGCGAGGCAGATCAGTCGCCGGCTTCTGGACGGCCGCTCACTGCGGCTGCTGGCCGCTCACGCTGGCTGCTGGCCACACACGGTAGCCCATGGCAATCCACTGCCACAGGGACTGCAGCCCACGCCGTCGCCGGCGACTCATGGCAGCCCAGCTCCAGGTTGAGCTGTTGTTCAGCATCTTAGCTGTGGAGGGCAGTGTCACTGGCCCTCATATGTGGGATCCGAACCGGGGCCCTCTGGCATCCCAAGCCAGTTCTTAACCATCGCGCCACTCGGCCGGCCCTTGCCGCTTGTATTTCTTCTGGTGTGTCTTACCTATTTGTACTTATTGCCTTTTTTTCTTATTGATTTGTCTTATATGTTAAGGAAGGGAATTTTTCAGTAATATACACTGCAAATGTATTTCAGTTTGTCCTCACTCTTACCATTCCATTTATGGTATATTTCGATCATTAGAATTATTTTCATTTTATATAGTTATATCTATCAATCATCTTCTTGTTCCAACACCTTTTATTGAATAATCTATTCTTCCTCAAATATTTGAAAGTCTACCTTTTTCATTTATTCAATTATGTTATGTGCAATTCTTGGGTCTGTCTCAGGACTTTCTGTTTGGTCAAGAATGAAACAATATCGGCCCGGCCATGTGAGGGGGCGGGCTGGGCCCGCGCCGCCAGGCCGCGCTGCGGCGTTGCAGGGAACCGGTGTGGGGGGGGGGGAGAAAAAGAATGAAACAATATCTAGCAAATACCCCCACATGTGAAAAATAAGAAATGAAACATGATCATGATTTATATCCTTTCCCCACCCAACTCTCTCCCTTCCAATTGTTTTAAATGTCCAGATATAACCTACACCTCTGGTATCTAATTTTTCTTGTAGAACACAAGCCTGATAAATATCAAGAAAAAACTGGAAGCTGACATAGCCCAGTGCCAGGTGGAGGTCGAGAATTCTATCCAGGAATCCAAAAATGCAGAGGAGAAGGCCAAGAAAGCCATCACAGATGTGAGCTCTGTTCTTTCTTTTCAGAGATGCCCTTGGGTGATATGAGAGGGGCTTCTAAACCAGGGCATGGCAAGTAGGTTTTATCTCCATAAGACCCCCAGGCGGTCAGTGGTGGCTTCCGGGAGAGTTGAAATGAGCAGCGGCACAGTGGGGAGGGCTAGGCATACTCAGTGATGGCTGAGGGAGGGAGGCGCGTGTCAGCACGCACAGTGCCAACCTTAATAGCATCTCCTGTATGGTCCAGGTAGGAATGAGCAGATGGCCCACTGATATTTTCTGTGCACTTCACCAGGCGGCCATGATGGCGGAGGAGCTGAAGAAGGAGCAGGACACCAGCGCCCACCTGGAGCGGATGAAGAAGAACCTGGAGCAGACGGTGAAGGACCTGCAGCACCGTCTGGATGAGGCTGAGCAGCTGGCCCTGAAGGGTGGGAAGAAGCAGATCCAGAAACTGGAGAACCGGGTAAAGTGGCTTCAGAGGACCCTCACTCTCAAAGTGATACCCAGTTCAGCAGCCTCAGGCAGAACCACAATCTGGAAAGTTAGATGGTGGGAAAGTGGCCACTGAACAAGTAGACTGTGGACTTAGTTTGAGGAATACTTGCAAAACTCCCTGGGAGCCAAATTTCCCACCTATTTCAATGTCACTGGTCCCTACACTCCAACACACACAAATCCACTTTAGAATGCTTATGCCTCAGTAACTGTAGTGTAATGACATTTTTAAATGTTCTCATTCTGGATTTCTATAGTTTCAGAACCACATAAATGGGGGGGACATGTACTTTACAATCATAAAATTATGTATTTTAGTGGAAATTTACATTTTGGACCTACCTCGGCTTTGATAACAATGGCCCATCCTATGTAAAATCTGTCCTCTCCCTCTGTCTCCCGCTGCTGGGTCTCATTCCCTTCCCAGGTTTCCTAATCTCTAAACGCAATCTGCAATTCCGGTATATTTCTCACTGCGTCCTAAATGGGGAGTGATTGACACTTCCTCCAGGCTAGCGCAATGCCCCAGGAAAGTCAATGCCCCACATAGGACTGTGCTGCGTTTTCTTCAGCTGGGAAGGCATTTAGTAGTTGTTTAGTTTCTTTGCTGATTATTTCCTTTATTTTCTGTTACTCCTGTTTTTTGGTTTGTTTGTTTATTTTCCCTTTAGACCTGTAATCGTTTATTTCATTTGTTGTCAAAATGGGCTCCACTGCCAGTTAACATTTTGGAGAAGGGCTTTGCAGAGGAAATTGTCAGAATATCCCTGTTGTCACTGGGAGAGAGGAAATGAAAGAGTGGGAGGGAAAGAGGAGGCAAAGAAAAGGAAACCACTTCTCCCATCAGGAAAGACCCAAATACACCCATTCTTTTTGCCAGTGTCCCAAGAACATGGTCACCAGCACTTATACACTTTAAATGTGAAAGGATTTTTTGGCTGAAAACTACAAGGCATGAGTAACAAAAGCAAACACCAGAGAAGTCAGAGCTTAAAAAAAAATTATTTAAGTGCTTATTTTTAATTATTCCCAGTTGTATTCTATTAAAACGAGCTTAGGCCTGTCCTTCTCATTGACCCCACCCTCAAGGGAAGGACTAGATCCCGTGCCGCCCTCTATGATTTCTGGGTTGGCAGGGAGCCCTCAGGCAGCCTCCCCCCTGCATGGTGAGGAACCTTGAAAGTCCTCCAATTCTCAGCTGCCCAGTTATCTTGGTTTCATAAACTTTACAGAGGCCTAGAGAACACTCCCAGGGAAATAGATGTTTTGTGGAGCCTGCTGGACGGAAGCTCCCCAGGACCCGTGGAGTTGGGATGGGAGTTTTATTTGGAACAGTGCCCAGAGTTAGCCTGTTCCACTAGTAGATTTCAAGATTGATCTGGTGAGTCTGCAAGCCCAGAGCCATGCCCCATCTGCAGTGGCTGGGATTCCAGGTGGCTGGCCACCACCCCCACTTCTTGGCTCTCTCTCTGGATTATGGAGTTGCGGCCATAATTGGTGAGCTGAGTTCTCAGTGGCATCCTCTCCCCTCAAGACTTCAGGAAAAGTGGGAGCAGCTATGAAATGAACACCCGTATAGCACTTTATCATTTAAAAAATACTTCCACATCCTTTGTCTAACTTGATCCCCCCACACTGAAGGTAGCTTGGGCAGGAATTCTAATCTCCAGCCTAATTATGCAGAAACTCATGCCCAGGCTCTCTTACTTGATCAGAAATCAGGACCACCATGAACCATTGTGCAAGTTGCATCTGTGGGGAGAAGGTGGGGCTGAGGCACAGCCTCACCAAGCTGTGTGGCC